CTTCCCTTCTCAGCTCTCTACTGAACGCTCTGGCCCACATTTCGGGTTGACGCCTCCCAGGCAAGCCCACCTGTTTTGCTCCTGCCCTCTTCCCTCCCTGTTCACCTAGAAAGGACCCAAGAGCAGCTCCCAGGAAGACCTTCCCCATCAGAGCTGGCTGGCAAGGGGCCTACGGGGATGCTGGGAAGACGCCACTGCACTCTCACCCAGTGACCTTTCCCCAGGGCTCCTAGGGAGCGGGCGCTCACATCTCCCCTTCCCAGGGTACCTTTGGGTGGTGCACAAATAACCAGTTATCCAGCTCATGTCCCTGAATTGGCACAACAGCCTTGCGGGCCCCAGGGACACTCAGTGACTTCAGTCCCAGAGAATGTAGGGGAATTCCACGACAGGCAGGATTGCACAGCCCAGCCTGAAGGGAAGGTCAGGGCAGGCTGGGGAGCTGACAGAGCCAGCTGAGGTGTGGGGTGGTGTACTGTACCCCTAGGTGTCAGGGTTGCCCCCACAAGCCCAGGGAAGACAGCCAGCTGCACGGTCTGAGGGCCAGGCGCACTTGCGGATGTTGCCACACTGAGCCTGCCTCTCCCACACGGGGGACTGCCTCCAGAAGCCTGAACTGTTTTCAAGGCTTCCTACTGCAGCTGCTGGGCCCCCGCCTGTCTCCTCCAGGGAGGCACTGCTCAAAGAGAGGCCCAGGGGCTTTTCCCAGCGCCGGGGGGCTGCCCTGGAGCCAGGCCTCAGAGGTCTCAGCTCTGGAGTCCCTGCCAGCTGCTTCTCCAGAATTTGCTTCTCTGCTTTCTACTGGGGTGGAGGTGAAGAGTCTCTAGGGTGGCCAGTTGGAGCAAATAACAATACAGGATGGCCAGTTAAATGTGAGTTTCAAGTAAACAGTAAATAATTCTTTATGATCAGTATGTCCCATGCAATATTCGAGACATACTAAAAAGTATTTGTTGTTTATCTAGAATTCAAATTTAATAGGCCACCTGGCAATCCTGGCCCCACCTCATTTTTTAAATTCTAAGAATATCCCTCTTCTCAGCTTCTTATCTGTGGGGAGACACTTAGAAATAAGGGCAGCTGGGCGCGGTGGCTCATGCCTGCAAGCCCAACACTTCGGGAGGCCAACGTGGGAAGATCACTTTTGCCCAGGAGTTCAAGACCAGTCTGGGCAACCTGGCAAGACCCTGCCTCTACTTTAAAAATGTTTTAATTAAAATTATAAAAGAAATAAGAGTACATATAAGGCAGTAGTGTTTTCCATGTGATTACAAATAGTAATCTGGTTTTAAAACTCCGGGACACTATTGATCTTTGCAAACATTTCCTTTCTTTCTTTCTTTCTTCCTTTCTTTCTTTCTCTCTTTCTTTCTTTCCTGCCTTCCTTCTTTCTTTTCCCTCCCTTCCTTCCTTTCTTTCCTTCTTTCCCTTCCTTCCTTCCTTCTCTCTTTCCCTTTCCTTCCTTCCTTCCTTCCTTCCTTCCTTCCTTCCTTCCTTCCTTCCTTCCTTCCTTTTCTTTCTTTCTTTCTTTCTTTCTTTCTTTCTTTCTTTCTTTCTTTCTTTCTTTCTTTCTTTCTTTCTTTCTTTCTTTCTTTCTTTCTTTCTTTCTTTCTTTCTTTCTTTCTTTCTTTCTTTCTTTCTTTCTTTCTTTCTTTCTTTTTTGACAGAGTCTCACTTTGTTGCCCAGGCTGGAATGCAGTGGCACAATCTCAGCTCACTGCAACCTCTACCTCCCAGGTTCAAGTGATTCTCCTGCCACAGCCTCCCAAGTAGCTGGGATTACAGTCACCCGCCACCACGCCCAGCTAATTTTTGTATTTTTAGTATAGATAGGGTTTCACCATGTTGGCCAGGATGGTCTCAAACTCCTGGCCTCAAGTGATCCACCTGCCTCAGCCTCCCAAAGTGTTGGGATTATAGGCATGAGCCACCACACCCAGCTACAAACATTTATTAAACTAAACTTTGCATTAACTACATATTACATAGTTCCTTATTGTAATAAAATCTCCAGTGGATAATTTGTTTTCTGTACTTTTCTTTCTGTGTTTTGTTACCTATGTGTGTTCTGGAAATGTCCTGCTAGTGTAGAGGAGACTACTCTATTCTTACCTAATTCTCAATGCTGTTGAAGGAAAATATCCTTTTAGCTTTCTCTCCTGTTCCTTTGAAGAAAAGCCCAAGCACGAACCTGCACTCTGTTTCCTCTGGAAAGGGAAGCTGCTGGTGGGTCCCAGTGTTTTGGGAAGGGTGGCTCCTGGTGAGTGACAGACACCCCTGGAGTATGCAGAGTCTTAAATATCTGCTCTGGACTTTGAGTATGTGAGGCCAGAGGCCCAATTCTACAGGCTGGGCAGGAGGAGGGCGTTTTTGGATGCTTTTAGGGCTGTGAGAATGTATTCCCTTTATTTGTGCCTCCTTCTGCTTCTTTTCCCACCTTTTCTCCAAAGGAATAGAAATATCAATGCTCTAAGGTCCAGAGTCACAGGCTGAGGGTGTGGGGGGTAGAGCTCCTCCAGGACCTGCACAAAGGTCCTAGGTCTCTGCCTCTGAGCATGTGGTGGGGACCTGAGTCACCTTGCAAATGCACCCCAGCTTGGAGAGTCTGCCCTGGCAGCTGCCCGACCCCTCCCAGGCCCAGCTGCTCCTCTAGGTCACTCAGGAAGAAGCCTTGGGAACATCCTGGCCTGCCTGTGGCAGCACCCTGGCAGGGTACCAGCGTGGGGCCCTCCCTGCCCTTGCGGGGAGCCAGCATTGGAACCACCCGGCTGAGTCTGGAAATCCTCAGTCTTCTGACGTAGTTCCTCCTCAGCCACAAATGCAGGCAGAGCCTCCCTGGGCGGGCCTGCAGCTCACCAGCTGCCAGTCTCTCCCCCAACCTCCCACGCCTCTTCCCACACCTGCCTCCCAGTATTCTCCAGCACTTTGTCAGGATGCCTTAAGGAGGCGAAGCTGCAGCAGGCCAGCAGCATAGCCACCTGACTCAGGGAGTGTGACACAGCGCACGTGCTATCCAGAGCAGCTCCACTGAACTCCCATGTTGACAGCAGGGCCTGCCTTCCCCGAACATGGGCTAGCAAGGTTCCTCCATCTCTCACCTTCTTCTAAATCTACTAGGAAGCCCTGTGGTAAAGCTCTCAGTCTCAGGCTGAGATTGCTGGGTTCAAACCCTACCTCTCCCACTTACTAGGTGAAGTGACCTAACCTCTCTGGGCCTCAGTGTTCTCATCTGTGAAAGGGGGATAATAACCAACCTGTATCACAGGCTATTGTTGGGGATTAAATGAGGCAATACATTGAAAGAGCTTAGAAAAATGTCTGGCACATAGTAAGTGCTTATTAGATTTTAGCTGTCATCTAGATTTGCCAGGTGTCCTCTGTGGTCATCAACAATCCACCAGGCTAAGGCAGGCGGATCACTTGAGGCCAGGAGCTTGAGGACAACACTCAGTACAAGGCTACAAGGCACTAAATTGCAGACATAAGAAATACAAGCTGTCACCCTCAGCTGCTGCTTTTAGGTACCCTTGGAGAAAACCTGAAAGCACCTGCACAGTAGATTTCTCTTCTTTTCTCTCTTTTTTCTGTCTCTCCTTCTTTCTTTCTTTTCTTTTCTTTTTTTTTTTTTTTTTTTGAGATGGAGGCTTTCTCTGTCACCCAGGCTGGAGTACAGTGGCACAATCTAGGCTCATGGCTTACTGCAACCTCCACCTCCTGGGTTCAAGGGATCCTCCTGCCTCAGCCTCCCGAGTAGCTGGGACTACAGGTGCACACCACCACCCCCCACTAATTTTTGTATTTTTGGTAGAGACGGGGTTTCAACATATTGGCCAGGCTGGTCTCAAACTCCTGACCTCGTGATCTGCCCACCTCGGCCTCCCAAAGTGCTAGGATTACAGGCGTGAGTCACGGTGCCCAGCCTCTCTCTCTCTCTCTCTCTCTCTCTCCCCCCCTCCCTCCTTTCCTCCCTCCCTCCCTCTCTCTTTCTTTCCTTCTCTTCTTTCTCTCTTTCTTTCCTTTCTTTTCTTTTTCTTTCTATTTCTCTTTCTTTCTTTCCTCTCTCTGTCTCTCTCTCTCTCTCTCTCTTTGACAGGCTCTCACTCTGTTGCTCAGGCTGGAGTGCAGTGGTGTGATCTTGGCTCATTGCAGCCTCAATCTCCTAGGCTCAAATGATCCTCCCACCTCAGCCTCCCAAGTAATTGGGAAGAGAGGTGTGTACTACCATACCCAGGTAAAGCACAGTGGATTTCTGTTGTGCTTCGTGGCCACATTTGGATGAATCTTTTGAATGTTCCTCCTGCACTTGGAGAAAATCTCACATTAAATGTCCCTGCCTCCCCAGGGTAGAAGCCAGAAACTCGAATTGCCAGCATCCCTTGTGATAGGGAATGGGCCATGGCCAGGCTCCACGTCAGGGGGACTTGGGTGAGGGCCTGTGGAAGCAGGAGACCTCAGGTGCCTCAAGGGTGGGTGCTCCCCTCTGTGCTTTCCTACACTTTTCTATAGAAGTCATTGCAGATTGAATTGTGTCCACCCCCAAAAAAGATGTGTTAGAGTCCTAACCCTCAGGAACTCAGAACGTGACCTTTTTAGGCAATAGGGTCTTTGTCAATGATCAAGTTAAGATGAGGTCATTAAGGTAGACCCTGATCCAATGAGTCCTTATAAAAAGGGGAAATTGAACACAGGCAAACCTGCACACAGGGAGAACCCCCTGTAAAGATGAAGTCAGCATCAGCATGATACTTCTACAACCCACAAACGCCAAAGATGGCGGCAAACCACCAGAAGAGAGAGGCAGGGAGCAGGTCCTCTATTAAAGCCCTCAAGAGGAACCAGCCCTGCTGACACCTTGTCCTTGAACTTCCAGTCTCCAGAACTGTGAGAGGATACATTGCTGTTGTTCAAGCCACCCAGATTGTGGTATTTGGTTACAGCCACCTTAGCAAACTATATGGAGGGGAAGCTCCTGTGTGTTGTGTCAAATGGAAGCGCCTGAGAGCAGGAAATTGTGTCTGTTTTATTTATGGGTGCATGGATGGTGCTCAAGAAATGTGTGTTCGACAAATGAATATCTTCTTCATAGTTCCCAATGCAGAACATACAGGACAGGAAAAGGCCAGTCTTTGAAAATCCCACACTTCTTATCCATTACCCTCAGACCTCAGCTATGGTCCAGGGAGGGACTGTGCCTGCCAGTGCCCCCACAGACATCCTCAGAGACCTCTGATGCAGCAGGGCCTCGGGAGCTGGGTGGGCAGCGCTGGTGGGTGGATGTCCAGCCTTGTGGCTTTCAGGCCTGTACCAAGAGCTGAAGAGAGCGTAGAGATCCTACTCCAACTCTTCGATTTAAAAACACAAAGCCCACAAGGCCCAGTGAGTATTTAGGTATCCCCCTGATCCACTTCTTTCCACAGGGCACAGTCACCCAAATCAGCCTCAGGCTTGGCTGAAAGACACATCAGCATGACCATTTCAAATCTCTTCCATGCCATTTTTAAGTCTCTCTCTCTCTATATATATATATACACACACATACACACACGTGTGTGTGTATGTGTGTGTGTGTGTACATATATGCATATCTATTTTATGTTTGGCAGGGTCACACTGAGAAGGTGCTTCGTGGCAGGGAGCACTTCCGAGTTCTGAAGAGAAGGAATCCTGTTGCCTGTGGTCACACAGTGGCTCTCGTGATATGCTTCCCAGCCAGAAGAAGGGTCTGCACAATGTACTTGGCTAATCTAAGTGTGGTTAGGATGGGAATCTTCTCTCCCTTGGACTCTGAGTGTGCAAGCGTGTGTATGCATGTGTGTGTGCGGGAGGGAGAATGTGGTAGAGGAGACCTAGGAAGACCTCTCCCAGAAGAAGAGGTGAGGCCTCCTGCCCAGGCCTCTCTCCATCTGCCTGCGCAGACCAGATCAGAATGAGGACTGAAGCCCCCCACATGGGACCCTAGGAGTCCAAGGGCACCGCCCAGAGGGCTTCAGCCTCCAGGCCACACCCAGGCTGGTCTGGGAATGACCCTCCTTTGTATTAAGAAACATGAGCCTCCTGGATTCCACTTGGGGCCGGCGTGTCCCTTACAGAGAGCCCTTTGTGCCTGGGAGAGGGTTGGCCCCTATTCTGGCAGCCATCCAGACACTGCCTGCCTCCAGCCACCCCGCCTGAGGCTCCCCACCATTCCTCCTCTCCAGCTGCACCTCCCTTCCTCCCAGGGTGCAGTCACCCGCCAAGGGCAGGGCACCCAGGGGAGCCTGAGCTGTGCCAGAAGCATGACCCTGAGAGCCCTGGGCCAGAGGCTGGGATGACGCCAAGGACTGCTGTCATGGAGAGGAGAGAGCTCTGGGGACAGCCCACATGTGGGGACAGCCCAAAAGAGTTGGGGCTGCTTGGCGGGCCCACTTCAGGGCATCAGGGATGAGAAAAATCCATCAGGGCCAGGCCAGAGCTCCATGACTGCTGCTCTGAAGCAGCAAAACCCCCGACTCCACGCTCATCTTGCCAGGGCAGAGGGTGGGCTACGGCAGGATCTGGCTTGTTGCTGGGAGACTCCATTACCGAAGGTCCGCGATTATCATTGCAACTGTTCATGTTCCTTTAAAAAATTAAATTAAAAAAAAAAAAAAAAAACCATGAGAAATCTCATGCTTGTCAGAGTCTTCCTCCCCCGCTGTCGGCTCCCATTATGAATCCGTGGCATCTTCTGCTGAGAGTTAATTACATGTTGTGTGAAAGATACCAGGCTTCCTTTAAAATTTTTTTCTCCTGGATGGGTTTTGACCCCGTCAGCTGCCTCCCTCTGCTTCCTCCCAGTGCAGCAGGAAAGAAGGGCATGCCTGGGGGAGGCACAGGCCTGATGTCCGGACCCTCTGCTCCTCAGAGCCCGCGTCCCTCCTGCTGATTGCTCGAGGCCTCCCTGAACCCAGGCGGTTGTCACCCAGCGCCCAGAGAGCCCGCTCCTGCCAGAGCGTGGGGATCATGACAAAGCACAAACGGAGGTGCTATTTAAGGCGCCAAGCACTTAGCCCTCCACAGGCTGCTTCCTCTCACCCTCCTCCCTCACAAAAAGGGGGGTCAGGTGGAGCGAGAGGTGCAAAAGTCTTCCTGAAGCCATCCCTGTGAAGGCTCAAAAGGGAATGTGACCCCTCCAGGAGGCGAAAGGCAGAGCCTCCCAGTTGCTGGTTCTTTTTTTCTGCTTGCTCCCACACATAGACAGAAATTCTCATTCTCGAGATGGCTCATCTTTTCTTCTAAGAGGCTATGACCCACTCCGGAAGCAACAAGTGTGGACTAATACCTTGAGTTATTGCCTCTTTGCAGTGTTGAATTTCACCTATTTAAGAGATAGCCAGTGGCACAGCTGTTGGGACCTCTCAGAGCATGTTACAACACCCCTTGCTCTGCAAGTCACAGCGTCTCTGAGCTGGAAGGGCCTTCTCGGCCAACCCCTGCCCTGAGCTCAGGCACATCTTAAAGTGAAGAATTTGTAGTCAGGCACGGTGGCTCACGCCTACTAATCCCAGCACTTTGGGAGGCCAAGGCAGATGGATCACCTGAGGTCAGGAGTTCAAGACCACCCTGGCCAACACGGTGAAACCCCATCTCTACTAAAAATACAAAAAATTAGCCAGGTGTGGTGGTGGGTACCTGTAATTCCAGCTGCTTGGGAGGCTGAGGCAGGAGAATTGCTTGAACCCAGGAGGCGGAGCTTGCAGTGAGCCGAGATCTTGCCCTTGTACTCTAGCCTGCACAACAAAAGTGAAACTCCGTCTTAAAAAAAAAAAAAGTGGAGAATTTTCAGCTGTCCCCAGATATTAGTCTCCTATACCAATCAATAAAGGAAAACTCAAGGTTGTGAGTTAACTGTAATCATGTCTATAATGACAACTCTCAACTAACTGCATACAGAATACTTACTTTTTAATGGGGACAAAGTATTTTTCTTCATTCTAAACTTGATAGTGTAGAGTCTGGGGATGTTGACTCATTTTAATTGTTGGGACAAATTAAGAAGAGCACTCTGTTGCCACTAGATTCCAAAATAAAATACAATTACGAATTTTTTTTTTTTTTTTTTTGAGACGGAGTCTCGCTCTGTCGCCCAGGCTGGAGTGCAGTGGCCGGATCTCAGCTCACTGCAAGCTCCGCCTCCCGGGTTCACGCCATTCTCCTGCCTCAGCCTCCCGAGTAGCTGGGACTACAGGCGCCCGCCACCTCGCCCGGCTAGTTTTTTGTAGTTTTAGTAGAGACGGGGTTTCACTGTGTTCACCAGGATGGTCTCGATCTCCTGACCTCGTGATCCACCCGTCTCGGCCTCCCAAAGTGCTGGGATTACAGGCTTGAGCCACCGCGCCCGGCCTAATTACGAATTTTATATTATTTTGAATAACTTGCTTTGCAGCTTCCCATCATAGGTACAACCAAGAATTGACTTTATTAAAAAAAAAAACTGCTCTGTTTATTTGGTTTTATTTTTCAAAGCGGTGTTAGGTCAGTCACAGTGGCTCATGCCTGTAATCCCAGCACTTTGGGAGGCCAAGGTGGGTGGATCACTTGAGGTTAGGAGTTCAAGTCCTGGCCAATATGTAAAAACGAGGTCTCTACTAAAAATACAAAAATTAGCCAGTTGTGGTGGCGTGTGAACCTCCGCCTCCCAGGGGGGTTGCAGCGAGCCAAGATCACACCATTGCACTCCAGCTTGGGTGATGGAGCAATACTCTGTCAAAAAAAAAAAAGGGCCGGGCGCGGTGGCTCACACCTGTAATCCCAGCACTTTGGGAGGCCGAGGCGGGCGGATCACGAGGTCAGGAGATCGAGACCATCCTGGCTAATACCGTGAAACCCCGTCTCTACCAAAAATACAAAAAATTAGCCGGGCGTGGTGGCGGGCGCCTATAGTCCCAGCTACTCGGAGGCTGAGGCAGGAGAATGGCGTGAACCCGAAAGGCAGAGCTTGCAGTGAGCTGAGATCGTGCCACTGCACTCCAGCCTGGGTGACAAAGCGAGACTCCGTCTCAGAAAAAAAAAAAAAAAAAAAAAAAAAGCACAGTGTTGGGTACTGAAAGGGCTGAGGGGGCACATTCGGCTAGTGTGACAAACCACTGGGTTACTGAGAAGTGGGTTGTCCACAGCCTCTAAATCCCAGGGGTTTCAAATGCAGTGTGTAAAACCTGTTAAACTGAAAAATCCTATGCCCTGTGCCCAGAGATTCTGATTTAGTAGGTCTAGGGTGGGACCTTGCATTCTGCATTTTTTAGCAAGCATCATGGCTAATTCTGATGCAAGTAGCCATCCTTCCACATGGAGAGACTCCACAGGGGTGATGGCTGTAGCTTATAGGCATGGGAATCAGCTGGATCCCAGCAACTGCTGCTCTCTTCCCAGCCAGAACTTTCCTGGAATGTACATTTCAGGAAATTACTTGTATGTGTATTTTTAAAAAATTGTTTTTTCCCTTTGGTTATAAAGCTAATGTAAGGCTGGGTGCGGTGGCTCATGCCTGTAATCCCAGCACTTTGGGAGGCCAAGGTGAGTGCATCACGTGAGGTTGGGAGTTCGAGACTAGCCTGACCAACATGGAGAAACCCTGTCTCTACTAAAAATACAAAAATACCTGGGTGTCGTGGCACATGCCTGTAATCCCAGCTACTCGGGAGGCTGAGGCAGGAGAATCACTTGAACCCAGGAGGCAGAGGTTGCGGTGAGCTGAGATCATGCCACTGCACAACAGCCTGGGCAACAAGAGCGAAACTTTGTCTCAAAAAAAAAAAAGAGAGAGAAAAAAAACAAAAAACGCCAAGTGAAAGTAAAGACACAGCCACATGGAGAGAAAGCCATGTGCAGAAGTTGCCGTGATGCAGCTGGAAGCCAAGGGACGCCAAGAGTTGCCAGGTCCCTCCAGGAACAGGTGAGGAAAGCAGTAGGAGCCCTGCTGCCACCTGGACTTCAGACTTCTAGACTCCAGAACTGTGAGAAAATGAACTGCTGTATTTTGTCTGGTGCTTTGTTGTGCAATCCTAGGAAACTGGCATGGTGTCAGTTGAGCCCGAAGACCTAAGGTACAAAGGACAGTTCTTGCTCTCTCTCAGAAGGGCATCCAGTCTAGCCTGCTAATCTGTCTTCCCTGGGAACATTTCTTGCTTCTGGTCACAGGAGCAAGAGCCCAGTAAGGGCCCGTCAGGGGCCTGTCATCCATTAGGGCAGGGTCTGGTTTAGTGCTTTCTTCAGGGCCACATCTCACGTGGTAAGAGGAACACACAAAAAATCAACTTAGCATTTTTCTTCAAACTCTTGGATTTTGGCCAGCCACAGTGGTCTGTAATCCCAGCATTTTGGGAGGCTGAGGCAGGCAGATCACTTGAGGCCAGGAGTCCAAGACCAACCCGGCCACCATGTTGAAACCCCGTCTCTACTAAAAATACAAAAATTAGCTGAGGGTGGTGGCACATGCCTGTCATCCCAGCTACATAGAAGGCTGGGGCATGAGAATCACTTGAACCCAGGCGGCAGAAGTTGCAGCTGCAGTGAGACAAGATCGTGCCACTGCACTCCAGCCTGGGTGACAGAGCGAGACCCTGTCTCCAAAAAAAAAAAAAAAAAAGAGAGAGAGAAAAAGCTCTTGAATTTAACAAAATGGAATAAGTGTTTATTAGGCTCTTTCAACACCTCCTGGATTAAAGCCTCATTCAGCACCTCACACTTTGTCACTGATCAGGCCTCAGAGGGATTCACCATCAGCGCCTCTCAGGCCCTAGGCTCCTGACCGTCAGGCTGGGAGGCTGAGCTACTGTTACATTCCTGACTACTCTGAGATCGGTCTTTTCCCTCGTGGCTTCTGAAAAGTTGCCCTCTCAGGTTGATCGTCTTGATCTTGGACAGAACCAGGACCTCAAGAACCCCATGTGCATGTTATACGCTTGAGGAAGTTATTACCTCAAGAGTTACAAAGTCTAAAACATTTTCAGCCATCCTTTACCAAGTGTCCACTGGGTGCCACTTACTTCCTCATGTCCTCACAAGAGCCCTACAAGGTAGGCTGTGATATAATAAGAAACATATATTTGGTCTCTGCTCCCAATTCCTGGCCCAGAGCTCCTAAAACCCTTGTAATTTTCTGAACAATAGAGGTTCTAAGTGCATCTTTTGTACTAATATTTTATCTTTGGCACAGGTTTCTGACACAGAGCTCCCAATTCCTTGGCATTTCCCGGGTGACAGGACCATCTTTTGTTCTAAGGAAGTGACTCTCGGTGGACTCCTGGATGGGGGCTGGTCACCAGAAAGACCAAGCCATGGTTAGAATCCTGGATCTTTCAGCCCCACCCCTCATTCCCTGAAGACGGGAGAAGGGCTGGAAATAGAGTTAATAATTGATCATGTCTATGTGATGAAGCTTCCATCAAAGCCCCTGAACTATGGGTGTGTGGAGAGCTTGTGCACTGCTGAGTACTTGGAGGGTGGTGCCCCTCAGAGGACAAGGATGCTGTGTCCCTTCTCCCATTCCTTGCCCTCTGCATCGCTCCCGTCTGGTGGTTCCTCTGTATCATTTGTAATATTGTTATAATAAACTGGTAAATGTACTTAAAGTGCTTTCCTGAATTCTGTGAGCCACTCTAGCAAATAATCAAACCTGAAAAAGGGGTGATGAGAACCTCCGATTCATAGCAAATAGGTCAGAAGATCCAGAAGCCCAGATCTGTGCCTGGCATCTGAACAGGGGGGCTGAGCCTGAAACCCCTGGGATCTGACTCTTAACTCCAGGTAAATGGTATCAGAATTGAATTAAACTCTATACATTCAGCTGGTGTTGGAGAATTAGTTGTTGGGGGAAAACTTCAACCGCCGACATTTGATCACAGAAGTATCCTGTTGGGTGTAAACAGAGAGAAAAGAAGTCTATTTTTTCCTTTACATAAGTACAATAATCTTTAAAAATATTTAAAAATATTTTACAATTTTTAAAACTGAGGACCAGAAATGCCAGCAGGCAGCCCAAGGTAGCAGAGCTCGTACATGGCAGAGCCAGAAGCAGAGTCAAGTTTTTTTAACACCGAGTGTCTGGCTGTTTGTTCTGTTAGGTAGTCAAGAATGGCTTAGAGGATCAGTGGAAGGCAGCTTGTCAGTAGAGTGATAAATGCTAACAAGGGATGTCAGATGTTTTGAGAATTTATGCCAAACCTTTTCAGGCAGATGTTCCCAGTTCCACTCAGTTTCATCTCCACCTTTTCTGGCATCTGGAGTAATAAGGAATTTTGCCATCACATGGCCCCTGAAAATAAGCTAAACCCTGCTAACTCACCTCCTGATTTTTGTATCTCAATTTCAATAAATCTATGGCCAAAATGTTGCAAGGAAAGTGAGCCCTCTAAATATATTTTAAAAATCTTTTTTTTTTTTTTTTGAGATGGAGTCTCACTCTGTCACCCAGGCTGGAGTGCAGTCACGCGACCTCGGTTCACTGGAAACTCTGCCTCCCGAGTTCAAGTGATTCTCTTGCCTCAGCCTCCTGAGTAGCTGGGATTATAGGCACGTGCCACCACAACTGGCTAGTTTTTTGTATTTTTAGTAGAGATGGGGGGTTTCACCATGTTGGTCAGGCTGCTCTCGAACTCCTGACCTCATGATCCACCCGCCTCAGCCTCCCAAAGTGCTGGGATTACAGGTGTGAGCCACCATGCCCAGCCAAAGAA